CCACGTGGCCAGACATTCCGGCCTGTGGGGACCATTCCCGTTATAACCACCACAATATGTTTCTGAGCCGTGGAAGACTGAGCACAGGGGTCAGAGGGTGACTGTGCGGAGCTGATTGTGTCCTTCTGCCTTTATACGGGCCTGGGGATCGAACTCAGGCCATCAGGCTTTCATGGCAGATGCTGACCCACTAAGGCATCTCACTTGGCCTCCCCATCAATTTTTTTCAAAGGGAGTGGGGTAGAGCTCAGGGTAGAGCACTAGCCTAGGATGTGCAAGGCCTGACTTTAATCCCCAGTATAACAAGGAGGGGAGGAAGGGAGGGAGGGATGGAGGGATGGAGGGAGGGAGGAAGGGAGGGAGGGATGGAGGGAGATAGATAGATGATAGATAGATAGATAGGTGATAGATAGATGATAGATAGTTTAGATTAAAAATTAGGCTGGGAATGAGGCGTCTCAGTTGATAGACTGATTGATTGCCTATCACACATTCTTGAGGACCCTGGGCTTGGTCCTCAGCCCCGTATAAAGCAGATGTGGTGACTTGTAATCCCTACACACACTCCAAGGCTGGAGACAGAAGGACCCGGAGTTCACTCATCCTTGACGACACAGTGAGTCAAGCCTGGGCAACATGAGATCACCTAGGAGATAAAATGAAAAGTAAAAGGGGGGAGGGGCCCAGCCAAGGGGGGAGCTGATCATGAAGCAGGCCAGACAACGCGGGTGAAGGGAAACACCTGTCTCTCTGCCCACGATGCCACAACCTGCCTGCCCCGTGATTCCCCCTCTCCACTGGTGTCACCCTACTCTGCTCTGGGACAGCCTAGTCCTGTTAGTGGCAGGCGGTCGACCCTGTCACTCTCCCCAGCTCCTTCTAGAACTGATTCTGTGCCTACAAACAGGCTGCTCAACACGTAATTCTCTCAGATTTGATGCTGGCCAGTTTTAGGTCCTGAATGACACAGGCTAGAGTCATTTGGGAAGAGGGAACCTCAGCTGAGAAAACGCTCGCACCAGACTGGCGGTTTCTTGGTTGCCCACTGTGTGAGGGGACCCTGCTCACTGTGTGGGGCCATCCCCGGGCTGGTTGTCCTGAGTGCTATAGGAAAGCAGGTCTGTGCCAGTCGATGGTGGCGCTCGCCTTTAATCCCAGCCCTCGGGAGGCAGAGACAGGCGGATCTCTGTGAGTTCCAGGCCAGCCTGGTCTACAGAGCGAGTTCCAGGACAGGCTCCAAATCAATACAGAGAAACCCTGTCTCAAAAAACCAAAACAAAACAAAAAACAAAAGAATAAAGCAGGCTGTGGAGAGAAAACCAATAAGCAAGCATCTCTCCACGGCCTCTGCATCAGCTCCTGCTTCCAGGTTCCTGTCCAGTTCCCGCCCTGACTTCCCAGGAAGACAGACTACAAGCTGCAAAATCGCTTTTGGTTATGCGTTTTTATCACAGCACTAGAAACCCTAAGATAGGGTTTGAAAGAGGTCTCCAGCCTGGAGCCACAAAGCCTGGGGACCTGCACCTGCGGCAGGTGCAGAGACACGGCCCCACACTGTCGCCGCCGGCAGCAGCTGGAGAGCTCCCTTAATCTCCTGGGGATCTCTATTCAGGTAGCCATATCCTCCAGCCAAAAAGAACTGTAAACCAGTCATGGTGCAGTGAGCAGGCAGGGTATGCTAAAGACGCAGAAGCCGGCTGGTGAGATGGCTCAGTGAGCCAAGGGGGCTTGCCACCAACCCTGATGTTCTAAGTTCAATCCCCAGGGCAGGCTTGGTGGAAGGAGAGAACTGACCCCTATGACCTGCACATGACAAACGTAAAAATAAGTAAACTTGCCAAGCGTTAGTGGCGCACGCCTTTAATCCCAGCACTCGGGAGGCAGAGACAAAGGCAGGCGGATCTCTGTGAGTTTGAGGCCAGCCTGGTCTATAGATCGAGTTCCAGGACAGCCTCCAAAGCCACAGAGAAACCCTGTCTCAAAAAAACCAAAAAAACAATAACTGACTAAATAAATAAACTTTAAACATTTAAGAAGGAATCACAATTGAGTTTACTTTTCAATTACACTTGTTCATGTATGGGGTTCATTCAGCCCCCACTTCCACAACGCTGTCCATCATCAAGGAAGTCAGGACAGGCATTTGCTGCAGAGACAGGAGCACTGAATCGGCCCAGCTGTGTACAGTAAGGCCCTGTATCTGTTTTCTGATCAACAGGGAGTCAGAGAAGCCATAATGGACGCCAGCAGCAGCAAGCTGACTTCCAGGAGCCCCTAAACCACCCCATCATGACTGTGACCCCAATTCTATCATTCAGCCTCCACTCTCGGAACTTGTCTCCAGTCACCCCCAGTGGCAAACTTGACCCTGCTACAATGATGCAGGTGACGACCCTGAATGCTCTGTGGCATGGCAGAGCTGCCTGGTAATCGTATCCTGCAGTCCATCCGGCCACATCCTTGAACCTTGAAAAATCTCCCACCAACACTCCAAACCTAGACCGCTATGGCCGTCTCATCTTCCAGAGCCTTCATCACTCACCGTCTGAATAGCACACAACTCACAATGGAAATTAGCCAGGCCAGCGTGGCCTTGAGACATGCTGACCGGCTAGATACAGTGTCAGGGGAGCCATGGCTCAGAGTCCGCCCAGGTCAGGACACAGGGATCCAGTGAAACCGACTCAGAGTCTGTGTGGGGCAGAGGCTGGGGTTGAGGGAGGAGCTTCAGGCCCTGACCCCATATCAGATCCATACATTTCTTCTTATAAAAGTATGTGTGTGTGTGTGAGCTTGCACATGTGTGTGTACATATGTGTGTGTGCACGTAAATGAGTGTGTCCCCGAGTTCAGGTTTGTATCCATGTGCGCGGGTACCAGAGGACCACCAGCGGTGTGATCCTCAGCAGTGCTGTCTCCCTCTTTTGAGTCTGGGTCTCTCCTTGGACCTGCCCTGACTGACTAAGCTAGACTTGCCGCCCAAGGTGCTAGAGAGGTAGTCAGACCTCATTCATCCTATGTTCATCGTGTGCTATTGGCCTCTGAAAGGGTCTGAGAATCGCTGAAGACCCTGGACTGGAATAATATGCAAACACAAAGAGCGTATATCACTGAGCGGTGGTGGCGCACGCCTTTAATCCCAGCCCTCGGGAGGCAGAGGCAGGCGGATCTCTGTGAGTTCCAGGCCAGCCTGGTCTACAGAGCGAGTTCCAGGACAGCCTCCAAAACAATACAGAGAAACCCTGCCTCGAAAAACCTAAAAAGAAAAAAGAAAAAACGTATATCCTTCAGAAACATCCAGCATGTGGGGTCAGGTCAACCATTTGTACAAAATAGCAACCCTGAGAGGAATACACAGGCTCCTTTTAAGCGTAGCTAAGGGAATTCCAGAACAGTTAGGTCATGTCAAACACAGCGGAGCAAGCAGGCAGCAGTTATATTAGTACATGGTTGATAGGCTGGGGTTCTAGTCTTTTCATCTTTGGACATTCTTGGATAAGTCGGAGCATATTTTAGGGGATGACAGGAACAGTCCTTTTCTGGTCACCATCTTGAGATACTGTGGGGGCTGGCTCAGGCGCCTCTGTCCTCTCTCCCTCATCCCTGCTGTCAGGGGCATTGCTGACTAATGGCCCTTTGTTGGGGAAAACAAAGAAAACAAAAGACTTGTTTGCTCTTAGGAAACTAAAACCTGGATCTGCTTGTGAAATGGGGGAGAAGTTTAGACCTCTCACCTCAATGGGAATCCAATACCAAAGTACATAAAGGGCCAGCCACCATCTCTACTCCACAGAGGGGGGTTCCAAGAAGCTCTGACGGTGAGTGCCCTCAGAGACAGCCAGGTCCCCTGCAGGGGCACACCCTGGTGAGGCTTAATCTTGTCAATCTCTGGGATTTAGGATCTGCATGCCTGTGAAATTTCCCTAGAGCTAACCAACATGAGAGGACCATCCCTAACTGTGGGAGGCGCCCTTTCATGCTTTGAGGCCTCAGAAAGAATAAAAATGGGAAAGTGGGCCGAGCACCAGCATCCATCTCTCTCTGCTTCCTGACTGTGGATGCCACGTGACCGCTGCCTCACGATCTGCTCCTACAGTCACGCCTTCCCCCCATGATGGACCACATGCTCTCCAACTGCAGGCCACAGTAAACCTTTCCTTCCTGAAGTCGTTTTGACAGCCATTTAGTCACAGCTGTGAGCCGAATAACAAAAAAAAAAAAAAAAAACCATGGGTTCATAGGAGGCCAAGCCACGTGAGGAACACCCACCCCTCCCCTTCCACACACAGTCCTCGTCCTCACCACACAGCTCAGAACCTCTGAAGAAAGAGTTCTGATCAGCCCTGCTTGGACCAGCACTCAAGCCAACAGTTTTATGAGAAGCGGTGATCACTGGGCCAAAGTCCATCTGAGGGACTCAGCCACTAAAACATGTGGCCACTTGAGTGTGAGGACCCGAGTTCAGACCCAACACCCATGTAAAAGAAAGCATGTGGAGGCACACACCTGTAACCCTAGCCCTGGGGAACACAGACAAGAGGATCCCTGGAGCATGAGGGAGGGCCATCAATCTAGAAGATTCCATGAGTTCAAGATTCAGTGTGTGCCTGTCTCAAAGAGTGGGCAGAAAAGTGACATTCGCATATGTCCTCCATACATATGTTCTACATCACACATGTGGACAAACACGCATACGTGTAGAACAATACACGATGCATAGAGTCGGGCTGGAATGGTACCCTAGTGGCTGCCAGCCAGGAGCAGGTGGCTATCAATATCTGAGTCTTATCTTCTGCAAGCAAGGGGCAGAGGTGCCAGGGCCGTAGGCTATCAGTAATCTCAGAGTTGAGCCTGGTGACAAGGCCTTTAGGAAGGTGTCACAGTGGGCCAGCCTCTTCTCACCCATCCCCAGACAGACAGCAAGCATCTTCTGTTTCCCATTTGGCCTATTTCCAGTTAGTCCAAACTAAGAAATCAACCACAGCCCAAACGAGCAACTCCAGCTTGGAGGAGCAATGACTTTATTGGGGTCACTTACAGGTTCACAGGCGGCTCGGGTAGCTTCACCAGCAAGAAGCCTGCCTCACCACGGTGACAACTCATCTAGATTCGTCCCTGGGGACCCCTACGCAGCTTGTGGGCACCTCCACGGACATGTTTCTCACCTGGGGAGAAGTCTTGAGTCTTGTAAATCTACTGGACCTCCTGCTCACGGCAGGAATCAAAAACCTGCAGAATAGGGTCATAAGACGGTCTGAGGCCAGTCAAAAACTAAACAGCTCAGAAGGTAGAGAGAGAGAGACTTACCCTATGTACAGCTCTTGGCTTCTGAGGCCTCGTCAGCCGAGTCCGCGGTGGAACTGAGGTCACTGCATGACCGGAAGTCGAAACACAGCACGGTGCCTCCCAGTAACAGCAACAGCGAGCTGGCCCAGGCCAGGTAGAGTGAGGCACCTGTCTCTGTTTTCTTCTTGGAGCCCAGCAGTGGGTTGGAGAAGCCATGACTGGTGTTGTATGTTACCCAGGACAGGGACGTCAGCACCAGAAGGCCAACACCAAGGAACAGCACACTGGCTGCCTTCATGATCTTGTCTTCAACTTGCGTGTTCCTTACACACTTGAGACGCTCATCCCCGATCATGCACAGAAGCAAACCTAGCCAGGTTCCAATGATGCAGATGACCATGAAGACTCGAGTCACACTTAGGTCCTGAGTTACTGCTGGCAGGGTGTCGTACAATGTACACTGTATCTGGCTGTTTTTCTGAACCTGGCACATGTACCACAAACCCTCCCAAATGCTGGCATCTGGGTTCGTCTCATCTTCCGGAAATGTCACCCTCCAAACAGGCAGGATACAGCTCACGATGGCGCACAGCCAGCCCAGGGTAGCCACCAAGAAACTGATAGCTTGTTGCTCCATGCTGACCATGGTTCAGAGTCTGCTGGGGGCAGCACCAGGAAGAGAGTGGGGGTCCGACTCTAGGGATGCAGGATTCCAAGAGCTGAAGGTGGGCTTCTAAAACACCTAAAGCCTCTCCCTGTGAGGCGTAGTGGCACGGAGCAGGTAAGAGATGCCGCTGCCACCAACGGCTATCTCAGTAGAGTCAGATGTCCCACTCTATCAAGTGTGGCCACAGCGGTCCACACAGGGACCTATCTCATGAAACAGATGGAGCTTTTGTGAGGCTCTGGGAGAGGGGGGCGGGGCAGAGGGAAGAGCTCCAGTCCCTGGCACCTCACCTGCCTGACCAGATCCCTGTATTACTTTTTCTTTCTTTCTTTCTTTTTGTTTTTTGTTTTTTGTTTTTTGAGACAGGGTTTCTCTGTATTGTTTTGGAGGCTGTCCTGGAACTCGCTCTGTAGACCAGGCTGGCCTTGAACTCACAAAGATCTACCTGCTTCTACCTCCCGAGTGCTGGGATTAAAGGCGTGTGCCACCAACACCTGGCTCTTACTTTCTTTTTTAATGGATGTGTGTGCCCCTGAGCATGCTTGTAAACTATGTGTATGTTCCTGTGTGCATGCTTGAATGTGTGTGTGTACCTAAGCATGCTTGTAAACTATGTGCATGTTTCTGTGTGCATGCTTGAATGTGTGTGTGTACCCAAGCATGCTTGTAAACTATGTGCATGTTTCTGTGTGCATGCATGAATGTGTGGGTGCACCTGCATGTTGGGGATCTCATTGGCCTGGAGCTTACCAGTTAGGCAACCAGCTAGCTGGCTGGTGAGCCTAGAATTGCTTCATATTCAGACCTCACTGCACTGGGTTTACTAGCAAACACCACCATACCCAACATTTTTATGTGGGTTCTGAGAGTTGAACTCAGGTCCTCCAAGCTATACTCTCAACCCTGGATCTATGGAATTCTGAGCCCAGACCCAGAAAAGTCAATTTAAACTGAGCAAGAGTTTCCATCTAATATTGAGAAACCTCTTTTTCTCTCTAATGGGTACACAGAGTCACACACAAACATCATATATACACACACAGACTAGTAATAAGATAAAGCATAACCTAGGGAAAGAAAGCCCCTCCCCGCTCTTGCGTAGTGGTCTAAGTAGAGTGCCCGGCAGCGCCAGTAGCAGGGTCTGGCGCCAGCCTGCTTTCTTGGCTCACTCCCAGGAACTGGCCAGGCGTGGTTGGCCATGGCACCCCCTCGAGCCAACGGAATGAACCTGAAGGTTCAGCACAGAGGTTCCCAGATAGGACAAGATTCTCCTTACAGGGTTTGCTGTCCTTCTTAATGCCCCCTCACCTTTTAGAAAAGGGGTTGTTTGATGTAACTTTGAACTCAAGACCCTTCCCCTCCTCCTCCCCTGTGCTGGATACACAAGCATACACACCAGGCCCAGAACTTTTCCCTTCTTGTTTTGTTTTGTTAATCGAGACGGGGTTTCTCGGTGTAGCCCTGACTGTCCTGAAACTCGCTCTGTAGACCAGGCTGGCCTCCGACTCACAGAGACCCGCCTGCCTCTGTTTCCCCGAGTGCTGGGATCAAAGGTGCCTGCTACCACCAGCTGGAACTTTCCCTTTTCTAATTGGAGCAGTGGGCTCAACCATGGTGTGTTGACAGATTGGTTGGGAGCAGGAGGTGACAGAGAGGAATGCTTACATGCCTGAGTCCCTGGTGGCTCACTGAGCCCCCAGACCACACTGGCCAATCTGTGTCCCACACTGGACACAAACGTTGTCCCTCCTTCAAGGCTGGCCACGCACCATTCTGTGTGTCCCCCACATACTCATCTTACATGTTTGGAGCAGGATGGATTCAGGTGTGGAGCTTGGATCTTAACATCTGAAACCTCGGTTTCCCAAGTAGTTCCACCAATTGGGAACTAGGCATGAGACTATGGGAGCCATCCTCATTCAAATGCCCACACTGGGCTACACAGCAAGGTCCAAGCCAGGCAGCGCCACCGTCTTGGAAAAAAGGAAATGACCAAGGCTGCTCTTGTAAAAGAAAGCTTGGGGTTGCTTACACTTTCAGAGGCTTAGTCCGTTATCATCCCGGCAGGAAGCGTGGCAGAAACATGGCGCCAGAGCTGGAGCTGAGAGCTGAGAGCTGCAGCCTGATCCTCAGCGGGAAAGAGAGCCGAAAGTCCATCCCTAGCGATACACTTCCTCCAACAAGGCCACACCTCCTAATCCTTTGGAGCCCACCAGAGGGTTCCACTCCATTGAGACTCCGCATTCAAATACATGAGCCTGTGGGGACCACTCTTGTTCACAGCACCACACATGCGATAAAAATAATACAAAGGAGAAGGGGTTACTGTGTACAATAGGTTTGATAGTTTATTAGACAAATGTCATCTCACTGCTCACGCAGGAACGTTTGCTTCTCCTTCATGTGGCAGGACGGTGTCGTTGATGAGGAGGAAGCCACCGTGAGCCTTCACTTGAGGTCACAGAGACCTTCATCGTTGGCTCCACAGTGTGGCAGGCGGATGGAACCATCTTCACACAGTGTGATGCATGCGATTTTCAGGGTTCCGGTCAACGGCTATTCTACTTTTGCCCTCCATGAAAGGCCCCAGTGGACACACCCACGTTAGTGGGTTCCCAGAGACCCTGGATCCACGCCGTGCTCAGTTCTATGTTCTCCTGATGGCTCCTCTACAACGTGGGGCCTCCAGCCTCCCACCGTGACGGTCAAATATCCTTTGGTTCCTTGCTGATGCTCTGTGACTTCTCCAGGACTCCAGGGGCTGCACTTCCTGACCTATCCACATCATAGGCATCCTACATCCTGAGCCCTCCTCAGCCTTTCCCATCACTGGACCCAGGCCATTGACCCCTGGCACCAAGGGCACAGTCATGCCCACCCTCCATCCTCTCCAGCCTGACCTCCCTCCTGACCTCATGGCTCAGCTAATAAGAGGGACCCCTGGAGAGGGACGGACAGTGCTGACCTAACATGCATAGAGCCCTGGGGTCCATCCCCAGAGCCCCACATGCCAGACGAGGAGCGCACATCTGTGTCTCAGCACTCTGGAGGTGGAGGCAGGAGAGTGAGGGTGCATCCCCAGAGATAACCAGTTCAAGGCCAGCCTGAACATGAGATCCTGTCTTAAAAACAAAAAAGCAAGGCAGGTGACACCAGTCATTACAGCTGCCAGGAGGGTCACACCTTCCAGAACAGCTCAGGATCACGTAGGATTTCCCAACTATGAAGAGAGAAAGAGAAAAGGAAAAAAAGGACAAATGATAAAGCAACACCATCCAAACTCAGACGCTCAGTGGCTGGATGGTTCCTTGAGCCACACACTGAAAAGGGGCCAGCGATTGCAATTGCTACAGATGGAGGACCGGAGCTCAGAACCCAGCACCCATGTGAAACACAGGTGTAGGGCATGCTCTGTAGAGAACACACAGCAGGCCTAGGGCGGGTGCCAAAAAGACCCTGTCTCAGAAAACAGTGGGAAAACTGATTACACAGAGACACCCGACATAGTCCTTCCTCTCTCCATCTCTCTCTCTCTCTCTCTCTCTCTCTCTCTCTCTCTCTCTCTCTCTCTCTCTCTCTCTCTCTCTCGTCTCTCTCTCTCTCTCTCTCTAGCTCTCACTCTCTCTATCTCTCGATCTCGCTCTCTCCCTCTCTCTCTCCCCCCTCTGTCTCTTACACACATACACACACACACACACACACACACACACACACACACACACACACACACACCCTCCATGGGCTGACTTACGTGTTCCCAGAGTACCACAGCGACTGCCAGCCAGGAGAAGGCAGTTACCAATACCCAGGCTTATCTTCTGCAAACAAATGGCAGAAGTGCCCGGGACACAGACTGTGAGCAGTTTCAGAGGTGAACTCTGTGACAAGAAGATGTTTGGGAGGGTTTCAGAGGGGGCTCAGACCCTGCTTGCCCATCCCCCAACAGCCTGGGACTCTGGCACTGACATCCTAGTGCCAGTCTGAGTCTAGTCACCTCGACGACAGAGGGTACCTGCTGATCATGAAATGACTCCATCCCAGTCCAGCTTAAGGGACCAGTGACTTTAATGGGGTCCCATGTTCGTGGATGACTCAGGGAGCGGCTGTCACGGGGATTGCACCAGAACATTGTGCTGACTCCTGAGGACCACATCCAGGAGGTCCCCTGCCCAGCCATTTGCAGTCTGTTCCAGGGGAGGAGTCTCCCCTTGTATCCCCAACACAGGTCACTCAAGGTGAAAGGAGCTTCCTGACTCTCCTTCTTCCATGAGGCCAAAGATGATTTCAGTCGGAGGGAAGCAGCTACTGTACTCAGTCACAAGGCGGCCTGAGCTGGCTACAGATAAACAAATCCAAAACACAGAGATCGGCCCACCTTATGCACGGCTGTTGTCTGAGGAGGGCCCTTCCCCAGAGCCCTCAGAGCGACTGGGCTGCTCGTTGTTAGCTGGGGCCTCACACCACATGTGGGCCGCTGCCAGAAGGGCCCCTGCCAGCAGAAGCAGCAGGGAACTGAGCCAGCCCAGGTAGAGTGAGGCTCCCATCTCTGGTTTGCTTTGGGAGACTATTTGAGGGTTGGCAATGCCAAGGATGACATTGTGTGTTACCCAGGACACAGACACCAGCAGCAACAGACCAACCCCCAGGAATAACACACTTGCTGCCATCATGATCTTTTCTTCATTCTTCATACTCGACACACACCAGATGCGTTCATCCCCGATCATGTACAGGAGCAAACCCAGCCAGGTGACGAAGATGCAGGTGACCACCAGGACTCGAGACACCTGCAGGTCCTGCGGCAGTACCGGGCGTGAGTTGTAGATCATGCACTTCAGGCTCTCAAATTTGTCAGCCTCACACAGGTTCCACAGGCCCTCCCAAATGAATGTGTGTTCAGAAATTTCCTTCACACGCCACGTGGGCAGCCAACAGCACACGATGGTGCCTATCCAGGCCAGCATAGCCAGAGAGAAGCTGGCTGCCTCCAGTTCCGGGCGAGCCATGGCTCACTTTCCGCTGGACTCAGAAGACAGCGCAGATCTGGCCCTCAGCTGCAGGACCCAAAGGGCTGGAAATGGATTTTTAATGTGTCCACAACAAGCTGTCCTGAGAACCGGGTCTCTTTGGAGTCAGACACACCGCCAGCGGGGGCGACATCAGCAGTTGACACAGGGATATGTTGGGTGTAGGACTTCAGCAGAGTCACTGTATGGGGTACATATTAGAACAAACAGTTGTTCTTTAGAAATACTTTAACCTTGAAGAATCTATGTGGAAAACAGGGATTGTTTTTGCTAAATGAGCTTTGTAGTCATCCCAAGACTTTGGTCACAAGACAGCTCAGGCACACGAGAACATGGTCTGAGCTGAGCTCATGGATAAACAAACCCAACGTGTAGAGAGAGGCCCACCTTCTGCTCTCCCGCTGGGTGGAGCAAGGCAGGGCTGTTGCTGGGACTGAGCAGTTCATTCTCTCCTGGGGTTTGCAGGGCAGGGCTCCTCCAAGCATCAGCAGTGTGGAGCCGGCCCAGCCTGGGTAGAGCAAGACACCCAGCTCTGCTTTCTGCATGGAGCTCAGCAGTGGATTGGAGCAGCCATAGAAGAAAGTTGTGTGTTCTCCAAGGCGTGGACACCATTGGCTGCATGCTAGCACCAGGATCCAAACACCCACCCACCTTACAATCACAGATGAAGTGGTGCTCTCTCCAGGACGTGGACACCGTCAGCTGCGGGCCAGCGCCAGGATCAAGACGCCCACCCACCTTACAATCGTGGCATCAGCTCTGCCTTGAGGCAGCCGTGATCGCGCTCAGCCTCAAACACACACAGCAGCAAACCCATTCCGTTATACAGATGCCCAGGAGGACTTGAGACACCTGTGGGCCCTGAGCTAATGTGACCCATTAGCCATGGTCCTAGTATGCCACATAGACTTTGAACCTAGCATGTTTGCCATAAACCACCACCCCCCACCCCTACCCCCCACCCCTACCCTCACTCCCCCCACCCCCCCACCCCCGCCAAACACTAGATTCTACTTTTGTCTCACTAATTTTGTCCTTCCGATTTTTTGGAAACATTGTCCCATTTCACATGGGCAACTCCGAAGGGCCACCAGCGAGGCCATTCTGCCTACAGAGATGGTGACCCACTGCAGTGCTTTAGAGCCATGGTCCAGAGTCACTGCAGTTAGGGAGGGGAGACAGTGGGGATCTGGGCTGAGCTGCAGATGGACATCTCAAGTGTCCAGAGGAAGCTTTCATGGGGGCAAAGAGACACAAAAGCAGACAGAGACTCCATCCCACCAGCGATTACCTCTGTAGAAGCAGATGTTCACGCCAGCAGTGTGAGGACAGCAGTTGACGCTGACATCTGGGATATAGATTGAGGGTGTGCGAGGCTATGATGGGGGTGGGGCACAGGGAGGAGCGTCATATCATGTGGCTTCAGGACAAGTCTATACCGCCTTCTCTTTCTTTTTTTTATTTTTACTTTTTTATTTTTTTGGTTTTTCCAGACAGGGTTTCTCTGTATTGTTTTGGAGCCTGTCCTGGAACTTGCTCGGTAAACCAGGCTGGCCTCGAACTCACAGAGATCCACCTGCCTCTGCCTCCCGAGTGCTGGGATTAAAGGCATGTGCCATCAATGCCCGGCTATACTGCCTTTTTTAAAACTCTGTGTGTGTGTGTGTGTGCGCGCGCGCGCGCCTCTGTGTGTCTGTATGTGTGTGTCTGTATGTGTGTGCCTGTGTATGTGTGTGTACGCCTGTGTGTACCTCTGTACATGTGTGTGTGCCTCTGTGTGTGTGCCTGTGTGTGTGTGTGTGTGTGTATGTGTGTGTGCATGCCTAGATTGGGGGGGTGTGCATATGAAAACCAGAGGACTTCCTCTGGTGTCATCCTCAGGATGCCATCTATATCCTGTAAGACAAGGTTTCTTGCCAGGCGTTGGTAAGCACTCGGGAGGCAGAGGCAGGTGGATCTCTGTGAGTTCAAGGCCAACCTGGTCTACAGAGTGAGTGCCAGGATAGGCTCCAAAGCTACACAGAAAAACCCTGTCTCGAAACACCAAAAAAAAAAAAAAAAAAGAACACACACACACACACACACACACAAGGTTTCTCATTGGACCAAAGCTCATCAACTACATCAACTATGCAAAACCTGCTGGCCAGGAAGCCCTGTGGATCCACCTGTCTTTTCCTCTTTGGCACTAGATTTATGATCACATGCTTGTGTATGCTGCATTATTACCAGGATTCTCAGATTGATCTCAGGTCCTCCAAGATAGATGCCCAGCCATGAGTCTCTCTATTCTGAGCTCAGGACAGCAGAATCTCCTGAAGTCCAAGTCCAGAGCATGAAAGTCCTCTGAAAAAATCTCCTTTCTTCCCTCCATATGGGTGCCCACATATATACACATTAAATGTAACATCTTTATATAATTACATATACATTATATAGAATGATAATTTAGAAAGAAAGATCAAGTCTGCTCCTAATTGATTGGTCCAAGTGGAGACAAGGTGGCAATAACAACCTGCTTTGTCCCCAACTTCCCTTGCTAGCTCACGGCCATCAAATGCCCAGGCATAGGCCAGTGACCCTTCTCTGGCCAATGGGCTATAGTGCAAGGCTTAGCATGGTGATTGGCAGCTAGGATTAGATTCACATTGTCAAGTTCTCTGTTTCCCCTCCTCCCACTTTCTGTTTTTAACAGCACGCTCTTGTGACATAACACAGGTCAGCCTTGAACTCACAATCCTCTTGTCTTTACCTCCACAATGATGATTCTCGGGTGTATGCCACCAAGCCCAGAACTCTCCCTTTGCCCTGTAGAGTAATGTCCCAGCATGATGAGTTGACAGACTGGGCACCAAGGCTTAGGAGTGCAAGGTGACAGAGAGGGGCAGTGTCATGGTTGGGTCCCTGATGGCATCATTGAACCCCCGACTACATTGAACAGTCTCAGTTTTCCACATTGGACCTGAACATACTCCCTCCTTGGAGCCTGCTATACACCATCCTGCCATTCACAGGAGGAGTTGATGGTGTCCCCGCATACTCACCTCATAGCCATTAAGTAGGGCAGATTCCTATGTGTAGTGTGGATGCTGCCTCTAAAATCTGGGTTTCCTCACAGCCTGCAGCACCTCCCACACCAAAAGTCAATGTGAGGCTAAGGTCTACTCAGCACCCTTCCATCTGCCCACTCTTTCAGAACCTCGAACAAACAGGGTCTCTGTCGCCAGATCCCATGTCACCTGCTGTGGTCACGAGGGCTGGCGCAAGCATCTGACTGTGTAGAGATACTGGGTAGCAGAGACATCGCTCACTTTGAGCAACTGAGCCTCACAGGTAACGGCTCTCTCTGGACACTTTGAAAGTCCATCTTTGCAGGCAGTGTTGGCACAAGTAGTCAATCCCAGGACTTGGGAGGTAGAAACAGGTGGATCTCTGTGAATTCGAGGCCAGCCTGATCTACAGAATAAGATCTAGGATAGAAAACAAAACAAAACCAAAAAAAAAAAAAAAAGGATTTAATCCTTGGAATCCTGCAGCTCCAGAGCCAAATTCCCACTGTCTCTCGAATCCCTCCACCAACTGACTCTGAGCCATCGTTCTCATGGAAACACCAGTTTCTCCATGGCCAGCGCCAATAGTGTCAGTATGCTAGGTAAAACAATGTCTTCTTCGAGTTCTCCAACCCACGGCTGTGTTCCGTGCAGATGGGCAGCCCTCTCTACTTGGCCTGGGTCAGCTCATCTCCATTGCTTTGCGGTTTCAACCTCCCCTCGTGCACTGACCTCCCCTGGGCCTCTGTGGGCTCTGCCGTCACTTCTGCTCCATTTGAGCGACTTCCATACTTCTAGTGACCTCAGGTTCAGCTCACTTTGGGTTTCAGAGGTCTTCGTCTGGGCCCCAGTCTACGGAAAAGTGATTGAGGAAAGCGCACAGACATCTGGCCTACACACACACACACACACACACACACACACACACACACACACACACCTAACATCACACGTACAAGCATTACATCTGAATGCACTGAGCCAGTCTAGAAGCCCCCATGTGTTGACTGACACGGTACCTTAGCGACCACCGAGTAGGAGTAGGTGGTTATCAATGCCCAGGCTTATCTTCTGCATGCGAGGTGCCAGAGCAACAGGGCACCAGTAACTCCAAACTGAGCTTGGTGACAAGCGAGCCAAGAGGGGCTCAGGATGCAGGTGAGGACCTCCAGGACTTCACGGGACATTAGAAAAGGGGGCTTTGTGGGACTGGGGTGTAGCTCGGTTGGTAGAGAGCTTGCCTAGCAGACTTGAAGCCCTGGGTTCCGGTCCCCAGCGCGACATCAACAAAGTGTGGTGGTGCACGCCTGTGATCCCAGCACTCAGGAGGCGGAGGCAGAAGGATCAGAAGTCCCGTGTCCCTGGGACTCCACCTGTGCCCTGTGGCTCACCACACCTCCTCCAAATAAATATTTTTTAAATGCTGCAAAAGAGGGAGTTGAGACCTGAGCAAGGATTTGGAGTTTTGGACGATTCCCGTCATGGAGGTGAGGCCACGTGCCCAGAAACTGGATGTCCGCTGAGCACATCTGGGGCATGAATATCTATCCATCTATATGACCTTTCTCGGAGGCATCTCCAAAGCCCCAAAGACAATGGGGTCACTGGATGAAGGGGCTTGGATTCCCAAATGTGTGTGGGAGGCAGGGCTCTCCACACCCACTTGCAATATTCTAGACTAAGATCCAGAGTTGCATTGTGGGATGCCACTGAGATCCGGGGAGTGGTCTAAAAATGGTCACATGCACTGACCACCACAGCTAGGATAGTCATTACTGTCTTTTGGTCGTGTTGGTGACGGAACCTGTGGGTATAACCATGCTAGGCAAGCACTCTTCTCTAAGAGACATCCCTGTCCTACACAGGGTGTTTCAGGTGCTTCTGGGAAGTTCCATGAGAACGATGAAATCTCAGCACTAGGGAGTTAGA